ATCAATAGTAATTTGTTCACCCACCGTGAAATATCTATGCTCTTGAGAGAAGCCAGTAGTGAAACCTATGGCCCCCGGGTCTATCTTCATCATATAAATCTTCCAATACTTTTTTATTTTCATTTCTTTTATTTTACTTGGCATCTTTATCATAAAAATACCAAAAATATTATCTGATCATATCTATCAGATCTCACTCTCGTAAGTGACCGTGTAGGGATTGACAACCCCTTATCGCGTTGGTTGCGAGGATTTATTTGTTTTGTGTAGGTGCGAGGGACTGGCGCGTAGCCTCCTACTGGATTGATACCTTGGTTCTCAAAAACTGAGGGAAATACTTACGCTACTTTGCTGCACCACCCTTTCCTCTTCAAGGGAAAACCAACGCAAGTGCTCAAGAGGTAGCAAGAGGCACAGTTTTTCTTCCACGAGAGGCACGGGCCTTTTTCTACATGCCTATCGGAAACAGAAAAAGCACATTTTTTCTCTTTTGCGAGAGGCATGCTTTTGCTTTCTTGAGAGGCACGGTTTTGCTTCCATGAGAGGCACGGCCGCGCCTCTCGAAAACATAAATAAAAGGTGTTCTGTTTTTTCTTTATTTCTTGTGTGGCACGTTTTTGCTTCCGTGAGAGGCAAGATTTTCCTTCCGCGAGAGGCATGGCGATGCCTTTCCGAAACGAAAAAATGTGTTTTCCCTTTTTATTTTCTTCCACGAGAGGCTTGGTTTTGTTTCCGCGAGAGGCACGGATTTTCTTCCGTGAGAGGCACGGCCATGCCCCTCGGAAACGGCTTCCGGAAAATAAAAGAAAATGCTCCCGATTCGGTTTTTTTGACCAGATTTTTTCATGAAACAAAAGTTCGTTAATACCTATCAACATGGGATCTAGTTTTGACGATATCGATGCGAGAAATCTAACGGTGAAAATGGTTCTAGATTTGGAAGCACAATTTAAGAGATGAAACGTTTTGATTGAACGGATCTACAAAAAAACTCCCAGGTTGTGACAAGTGGCGCATATGTAGCACGCCACTTGTCACAACCTAGGGAGGTGAGAGTGTTCTTTGGAAGGAGTACCATCGGTGTCAAAACCGGCGGATCTTGGGTAGGGGGTCCCGAACTTTGCGTCTAAAGTTGATGGTAACAGAAGACAGGGGACACGAAGTTTTACCCAGGTTCGGGCCCTCTCGATGGAGGCAATACCCTACGTCTTGCTTGATTAATATTGATGAGTATGAGGATTGCAAGAGTTGATCTACCACAAGATCGTAATGTCTAAAACCCTAGAAGTCTAGCTTGCCAGATTATGATTACCCCTACGAACTAAAACCCTCTGGTCTATATAGACACCGGAGGGGACTAGGGTTGTACACAGTCGGTTACAGAGAAAGGAATCTTCGTATCGAACGCCAGGCTTGCCATCCACGCCAAGGAGAGTCCCATCTGGACATGGGAGAGAGTCTTTTGTCTTGTATCTTCATAGCCCATTAGTCTGGCCCATGTCACATAGGCCGGACGCCCGAGGACCCCTTAATCTAGGACTCCCTCAGTAGCCCCTGAACCAGGCTTCAATGACAAGGTGTCCGACGTACAGATTGTCTTCGGCATTGCAAGACGGTTCCTCCTCCGAATACTCCAAAACATCTTTCGAACACAAAGAACGTGTCTGGCTCTGTAAAACAAACACCACATATATCCGCAGAGAGTATAATATTTTATGAGTCCAATCCACTGACAACTTTTGTAGTGTGACATCATGTCATAGCCTAGTCATTATTTCGAACCGTTTTTAGCCTCCCGGTCCATGTTTCAAGATGCGGTTTTATTGGCACATCTTGCCAAAGCAAAGATCGTGTCCCCTTATTGCGGGATTCTTATCACTGCCTTCATAAAAGGATAATGATTCACCTCTTTCACCCACACCCTCTTCCTCTCTTCCCATTCTCGAGCTCCAGCATCCAAGCTTCCATCCTTTCCACCTCCAGAAAGCACTCCAGCCATATCCAGATCTGGAGCGCAAGGGAAGTGGATGGTTTCCTCTGTCAAGGAGAAGGATATCACCAGGCTCCGGGAGGTCGGGTACCTAGCCAAGGAAATCACCCACCGGCTTCCGGCCAAGGGACAGATCGTCTCCATCCCAGAGCCCCATGAGAGGGTCGTGTTCATCCCCCACTTCATCCGCGGGTTGGGATTTCCTCTCCACCCATTCGTCCATGGACTTATGTTCTACTACGGGCTAGATTTCCATGATCTGGCCCCCAACTCCTTCCTCAATATCTTGGCATTTATTGTCATGTGCGAGGCCTTCCTCTGTATCCCACCCCACTTTGGACTGTGGTTGAAGATCTTCAACGTGAAGCCGAAGGTGGTGGATGCCCAACATGCAGAGTGAGGAGGCGCCATGGTGAGCAAGCTGCGCAACATCACCTGGCCCAAAGGTACCTTCATGGAGACCGTCAAATGGTGGCAACAACAGTGGTTCTATGTCATAGAGCCTTGCGACGCCACCTGGGCCGCGGCTCCTGAATTCCAGTCCGGCGCCTTGATGCGGCTCACCTCCTGGCTAGAGAAGGGCCTAGACTGGTCTTCGTCGGACAAGCTGACAGCGCTTCAGACGTGCATCAGGAGCATGGTGGACAAGAACGTCAAGCTTGTCAGTGTGATCCAGGTGATGCTCGCTCGCCGGATTCTTCCGTGCCAAAGCAGAACTTGCCACTTGTGGGAGTTCGATCCGGCCAAGCACCAGACCTTGCAACGGTTCTTTGGCACTATGCACGAAGACATCTGGAAGCTGCTCTTCAAGGCCAACGAGACGTGGCCGGCGACGACCGAAGACCGCGGGCATGACCTGGCCCATCCCGCTAGTGCGGTAAGTTTTCCGTATTTCAAGGTGTATCCTTTACTTGCTTACTCAAGGAAGATGTCTAAACTTCCCTATTTGTTTTTTCAGGGCTGGACAAAGAAGGCGGAGCTGATTCGGTGTCCGGCTCCGCTGCTCGAAGAACCAGCTATCCCGCTTTTAACAAAGATGCTGGTTCCGGCGCCCTATCAAGCGCCGGAGAAGAAGGCGAAGAAGAAGGCCAAGGGGACCAGAGGTGGTCTCTGCCATAGGGGCACTTTGGACGTGACATCCGAAGACGCCGAAACCCACTCCCCTCCCGCCATCGACGACGGGGAAGAGGAGGAAAGCAATTCTCCCCCCGAGGGGGGAAGGAAGAAAAGGGCGGCCTCCACGCATCTAGAGGCAGAGGCGTCCAAGAAGGGGAAGGCCTCTGCCGCGGACAACTCCGCGTGGGAGGTTGATAGCAGCTCCGAGTGGCGCCCTAGGGATAAGCCCCTGGCCGAATCGTAAGTACTCAAAGATGCACACAAATAACCAGCCTCTTTACTTCATAATTTTAACATGTTAAATCATGCACTTGCAGTCCGGCTCGTTCCGACCTCGAGGGATCCTCATCTTCGGGAAATTCGCTGGATCCGAAGGTGATGGACAGTGGGTCCCTTCCGGTGGCCTCCTCTCGCAAGGCCATGGATGATGCTGAAGTGCTGTCCTGAAGGACCCTCCCGGCTCAGGGGGAGGCGCAGGAGGCCGTCACGGTGGCGCCAGAGGATGATATATCGGCCGCCAAACACATGGGGGAGTAGATCCTCATGGAGACAGGCGATGGGGGCAATATCCAATTTGGCCCCCAGCCGAATATGATCCCGGAGACCTATACGGCTCCGGAATCCGGCAAGCAGCCTCCTTCGAAAGAAGGAGGTGCGCCGATTCCACCGGTGCCCTCTGTCCATCCAGAGACACCGGATACTCTACTGGAAGCGCTGCAAAGTGCTTCCATTGTTGAGGAACACCGTACCCTCATGGGTATGGTGGTTGAGAGGATTCAATATGCAAAGAGCGGACTAACCGAAGCCTGCACAAGCCTTCTAATAGGCTTTGAGGTAGACACAATTGTATAAAAAGAATGTCATAGTATAGACAGTAGCCGCTGAGACTTTGTCCGGTGTTCGGAAAGAAAAGCCGGACAGAGGATCAAGTAATTTTCACAGGAGACTAACTAAATATGTCTTATGTGAATAAGCAGGCATCGTTGTTGGCCGCAACCTCTCATGCTGCTGAGGTCTCCGGACTAAAGCATAGTCTGGAGCGGGCCGAGGAAGAGCTCTGCCGTGTAAAAAAGCAGCTAGAAGACAAGCAAGGTATGCAATGACCTTGTGTATATTCGGAAAGGATGAATGATTTGTGCTGACCATAGAGCCATGATATTTATTAGTGGCGGCGACCGAGGTGGAGGCCCTCAAGAAGGCGCTGGCCGAGGCTGAGGAGAGAGTGTCAAAGGAACAAGCCGCCCGTGAAAAGCATGAGGCCAAGGTTGGTGAGGTCCAGCAGGAGCTCCAGGACGTTGATACGTCTCCAACGTATCTATAATTTTTGATTTCTCCATGCTATTATATTATCTGTGTTGGATGCTAATGGGCTTTATTATATACTTTTATATTATTTTTGGGACTAACCTATTAACTGGAGACCCAGCCCAAATTGCTGTATTTTGCCTATTTCAGTGTTCCGTAGAAAAGGAATATCAAACGGAGTCCAAACGGAACGAAACCTTCAGGAGCGTGATTTTTGGAACAAACATGATCCAGAGGACTTGGAGTGGACGTCAAGCAACCAATGAGCAGGGCCGGCCCTGTGTTTCGGGAGGCTCTAGGCGAACTCGACGACATGGGCCCCTATGTCCTAAGTCCTAAGACAATATATATGTATGCGTGTGTTATATATAACTTATTAAAAGTAACTCTCAATCACACATCTTTAGTTTAAAATATGAGTATAATAATTCAAATGACTCCATCGAGAACAATAATAACCAAATTCGAACCGACTCCAGAAAAAACAATGGTACTAAAAAGATCGCAAAATGAAACTAACTTGACATGATTACCTCAAATAAGAACGAAATTAGACTGACTCCATCGACAACAATAATACTTCAGTGCTTCAAAAAAAGTTTCTTCGGGCATTTCTTGATGTGAAGTCATTAAGGGCACAATCAAGATCAACATTGTCCAAGATATCCTTCTCAATGCAGCACATAGCCAGGCCATTCAATCTATCTTGCAACATAGTTGACCTCAAATAACTTTTCAGTAGTTTCAGTTTAGAGAAACTTCTTTCAGCTGAGGCTACAGTCACAGGCACTATTAAGAGGATCCGATAGGCAACAGAGACATTTGGATAGCAATCTACAGCCATAACAAATTGAAGAATCTCAAGCGCTGACATCAAACCATCTGGCAAAGTTACATGCAACACTTTTAACTCTGAGACAAAATCATGAAGATCGACATCGGATGATTTATCATCAGAAAAAGCTTTTGCAAAAGTAGCGCAACATTCATGTAGTTTGCTATCATCCAAGGACTTCAGATTTTTTGAATTGAATAAGAAACCAAACACCTTTTCAAATTTCTTCAACTGATTAAAGCGCCTAGTCAATGAAAGAATTGCATTGTCAATGATGACTAGAAAGTAATTAACTCTGAAGGATTCCATAGCTAACAATTGTATTTCTTCTTCTTGATCATTGATTTCATCATGATGCCTCTTTCTTTTCCGTTGACGTTTTGAAGGAAATTCTGGCTCTGTGTCCATATCAGATGCAATGGCTTTTGCTATCTCAATACTATCTTGAAAGCCTTCATCTCTATACTTCTTAAAATATAATATGACCCCGTCAATGTGTTTTATAGTAGCATCAATGCACGCCATCTTTTCCTGCAACTTTTGGCTCACCATATTTAAAGAGAACAAAACATCATGCCAGATAACCATGCCAACTAAAGTTTCAAAATTCTCAAGTGCATTGACCAAAGATTGAGCATCACTTACAGCTGCTAGGTCATCAGTAGAAGTCTCTCCAATTCCTTCAAAGCTAAAATTACATGGATAGTTTGGTACCTGATAGGCTGCACACTCTTTATTCGACTCTCCCAACAAGTACTGGACAAAGGCTTGAGAGTTAGTTTTGTTCCTTTTGGAAGATTGTCAAGTAAAATCTTCCACCTTTTAGTAGAACGTGAAAACAACACGTATATCTGTTGTATAATACCAAAGAATGTAATAGCCTGTTTGCAAGATTTTGCCATATCACAAAGAGTGAGATTCAAACTATGACATGCACATGGCATATACAATGCTTTGGGGTTTTCTTTAAGGAAGCGACTCTGAACACCTTGGTATTGTCCTTTCATGTTGGAACCATTGTCATAACCTTGACCTCTCACATCAGCAGCATTCAAATCAAAAGAACTCAATGTATCCATCAATACCTTCAAAAGCCCCAACCCCGATGTGTCCTCAACCTTTAGGAACTCTAGGAAAAACTCCTTCACTCTCGGAAGGTTGCTTGACATATTGACACAACGCACAATGAGAGTCATTTGTTCTTCATGGCTCACATCCGAGGTACAATCCAGAATAACTGAAAAAGATTTGGCATCTTTGATGATCTTTAAAATTACATTTCTCACGACATTAGCAAGAACTGAGATCAACTCGTTCTGGATTTTGTGGCCAAGATAGTGATGATGCATTTCACTATTTTGAATACGCCGGATGTGTTCTTGCATAACAGGATCAAATTCAGCAATCATTTCAATCGTGCCCAAAAAATTACCATTATTATCTTGATACAACTTCTCATTTGATCCACGAAAAGCCAAAGTATGTTTTGCAGGAAACTTCATAGCTGAAACTGTTCTTACTAGAACTTGTCTCCAACGCTCCTTCTCCTTTGCAATCCCCCTTTGCATATCATCATCAATTGTCTGATTTTTGCTTAGTCTCAACCTAACTTCATTCCATGTATTCATGTTTATTAAATGGTCAACACTGTTCTCATGATCTTTGAGACGCACACTCAAATGCTTCCGGTCATTCAATCCATCAGATGCCAGCATAGACTTGCTCAGTTTTGATTTGAACAACTTGCAACAAAAACAATATACTTTGTTTGCACCTTTGTGGTAAACCAACCACTTTCTGTCAACAAACTCACCATTACTTAACTTCCTAGAGTAAAAAACATATGAAAAGTATCTACCAATGGTGTCCTTCTCGAACTCCAGATCCGGTACTCTAATAGGTCCCTTCTCAATTAAAATATCCCTTTTGCTATTGCCAAGAACTTCCCATGTTCTTGGATCAAAAACAAATGAAAGGGAATCTTCCTGTTCATCATTAGAGGAAGGCTGCAAATTTTCCTCCTCCATTGTACTGTCTGCATCAACTTCAAAATTTATTTGCTCCCCTGTGCTTGCACCAACTTCATTCACCTCAACATCTGGATTTTCATGCTCAGAAGTAGTTTCTTGCCCTTGTTCTTCACTGACATCAACATTGCTTGAAGATGTAAAGTAGTTATTCAAAGAACCCTTCAGTGCTAGAATTTTTAGATAACTTTCTTTCTTTTTCCTCCTTTTTCAGCACCCGACAATTGCTTCTTCTTAGGTAACATGGCAGGCTAATGTCCTAAAATCATGAAGAAAATATCAAAAGAGCATACAAAAAATTAGGAATTTATAGATCGGATGATTGGAACCCTAGACATGTTACATAGAATGACAAAAAATTGATAGATTGGATTACAATACGTACATACTAAATAAAGAATAAATATACTACTGAGATTTTCAAATTGAGGTTTGGGATGGATAGGAACATGGATGCGTACTTCTTGACTTCCAGTCGGATGCATACTTGTATAGGTATTGACGTATTGCCGCGGTGCTGGATGCCAAATGGCTGATTGGCCGGGCTGCCGTCTGCCTACCGGACTGCTTTGTGGCGGCGCCGGCGAGCCGGCGAGGCGAGGGCGACGCGGCAAGGGCCAAGGGGCAGCGCCGAGCGAGCGAGAAGGCCGACGGGCGGGCGAGGGCGACGAACCTACGAAGGAAACGTCAAAACGAGCGTGAGTCACGGCGCCGCTTCGCCTACGCTTATCCATCAGCGATCGCTAGCTAGCTATATCTGGGCCACCTAGCCCATCCTATTTCTTTTCTTTAATTCTTTTGTAATTTTTACTTGCTTTTTGCTGGGCTATAGTATATGTATATACTCCATCATGTGCCCCCCCTTGCCTGGGCCCTGGGCCATCGCCCTGTCGCCCATGCCACAGGGTCAGCCCTGCCAATGAGGCGGCCACAAGGCAGGGGGCGTGCCTACCCCCCTGGGCATGCCCTCCACCCTCGTGGGCCCCTCGTGGCTCCACCGACCTACTTCTTCCTCCTATATATACCTACGTACCCTGAAAACATTGGGGAGCACCAGAAACCCTATTTTCACAGCAGCAACCTTCTATACCCAAGAGATCCCATCTTGGGGCCTTTTCCGGAGCTCCGCCAGAGGGGGCATTGATCATGGAGGGCCTCGACATCAACTCCATGGCCCCTCCGATGATGTGTGAGTAGTTTACCTCAGACCTTCGGGTCCATAGCTAGTAGCTAGATGGCTTCTTCTCTCTCTTTGGATCTCAATACAAAGTTCTCCTCGATTCTCTTGGAGATCTATTCGATGCAATCTTCTTTTGCGGTGTGTTTGTCGAGATCCGATGAATTGTGGGTTTATGATCAAGTTTATCTATGAACAATATTTGAATCTTCTCTGAATTATTTTATGTATGATTGGTTATCTTTAAAAGTCTCTTCGAATTATCAGTTTGGTTTGGCCTACTAGATTGATCTTTCTTGCAATGGGAGAAGTGCTTAGCTTTGGGTTCAATCTTGCGGTGCTCAATCCCAGTGACAGAAAGGGAAACGACACATATTGTATTGCATCGAGGATAAAAAGATGGGGTTTATATCATATTGCATGAGTTTATCCCTCTGCATCATGTCATCTTGCTTAAGGCGTTACTCTGTTTTATGAACTTAATACTCTAGATGCATGCTGAATAGCGGTCAATGTGTGGAGTAATAGTAGTAGATGCAGGCAGGAGTCGGTCTACTTGTCATGGACGTGATGCCTATATACATGATCATACCTAGATATTCTCATAATTATTCGCTTTTCTATCAATTGCTCGATAGTAATTTGTTGACCCACCGTAATACTTATGTTATCTTGAGAGAAGCCACTAGTGAAACCTATGGCCCCCGGGTCTATTCTCCATCATATAAGTTTCCAATCTATTTTATTTTGCAATCTTTACTTTCAATCTATATCATAAAAATACCAAAAATATGTATCTTATTATTATTATCTCTATCAGATCTCACTCTTGCATGTGGTCGTGAAGGGATTGACAACCCCTTTATCGCATTGGTTGCGAGGTTCTTATTTGTTTGTGTAGGTATGAGGTGACTCATGCATGGTCTCCTAGTGGATTGATACCTTGGTTCTCAAAAACTGAGGGAAATACTTACGCTGCTTTGCTGCATCACCCTTTCCTCTTCAAGGGAAAACCAACGCATGCTCAAGAGGTAGCAAGAAGGATTTCTGGCGCCGTTGTCGGGGAGATCCACGATAAGTCAAGACATACTAAGTACCCATCACAAACTCTTATTCCTCGCATTACATTATTTGCCATTTGCCTCTCGTTTTCCTCTCCCCCACTTCACCCTTGCCATTTTAATCACCCTTCTTCTGTTCGTCTTTTTGTTTGCTTTGATGTCTTACTTGGCCCGTTTGCTCGTTTGGTTGGAATAGTTGTTTATTTATTCCTAAATAGAGAATCTAAGATATATGGATCCTCATCCGCTTGCTAATCTTTTTAAGATGTCCAATTATGATGAACCAATTGCTAGTGAGTTTTGTGCACTAGATTATCTTTATGAAGTTTTGCTCGAAATTCGTGAATCTAAAAATTGTGATAAAGTAATTTATGGAGTGATTCATGATGTATCTTTGAATAAAAAGCATGATTGCCATGATGATAGTATATATTCTATTAATGTCAATTGTGCTTATAATATGCAAAACCCTAAGCTTGGGGATGCTAGTTTTGCTATGTCTACTACTTATTGCAATGATCATGATTGGGGTGATTCTTCTTTTGATCTTGAAAAATTATTTAAGCCCCATGATGAATATGAGATTGATAAGAATGTTTGCAATAATATTGAACGTGGGTTTGGAAGAGTGTCAACTTTAGATCCCACATATTTGGAGAATGTTCAATCTTATGAAATTTTTGATAAAAGTGGGTTTGGAGAGGTCATAACTTTAGCTAATGTTAATCCCACTATTTTGGAAGAGTGTCAACTTTGCATACGTGTGGATCTTGT